CGAGGCGGTCTATTACTGTGGTAGCAATGCTGGTGCCACAGTGACGCAAAGCAATGGGGAAGTGATACAAAAACCTCCTGCCGTCGCAGGGGCCAGTTAGGAGTCTCAGCTGTCCCTGTTTGATGGTGGTGCAGGTCCCCACCATGGCTCTGCCCTGCGCTGCCCTGTGCTGCAGGTGGCTGTGCCTGGTGTCCTATCTCGGCCGTCCCTAAAAGCCCCAGGTCTGTGCCCATCCTGTGTCATTTGGGGAGGGTATGACCCCAGCTGCCCTGTCCCTACTCCATGCTGCAGGGCCAAGCTCCCCCTGTGCTCCCCAGTTGGCACCCAGGGCCCCGCCGGGTGCCTCCCTGTCCTCCTTCCAGCCCAGCTGCGTCAGGAGCCCCCGGGCCATCGCCCCAGGGGGGTTCAGCCCTACTGAAACTGCGGCCCAAGCACTAAGAGGTGGGGACGTGCCATGGGCCACGGAGCTGGGCCAAAGCTTTGCCTTCAAACCCTGGGAAGAGATGTTTCTCATGGGTGCAGCAGCTCCAGGGCCGTGCGCGAGGCTGCCGGGGCAGAGCAGGGCTGGCCAGGGGCTGCTCTGTTCTACTGCAAGAGGAGCCATGGGCTACGCCAGCGTTGGCTGTGTTTGCCCAGTGCTGGCCCATTGGGCTCATGTTCAGCCTGTGCAGGAACCCCATAGCACCTCTGGCCACTTGGGAAGCCCCTGGCCCTGGGCAATGCCCCACCACAGCCCCACGACAGCAAGGTGCTGCCCAGCACCCTGACCCCATTCCTGTCCTGTGTCAGGAGCTGCCGCCTGGGTGGCCTTGTACTTCTCCTCCTCGCGGTGCTCGCCCACAGCTCAGGTGCCCTGGCCAGACTCGCTGTGCCCAGCCAGGGCCTTTGGGCTCAGGGGGCCCATCCCACTGCCCGGGGAGGGCTGTGTTCCTGGGGCACTGGCTGACCCCCTTCTTCTCCCCTCTCTCCTCTCCCTCTCCAGGTTCCCTGGTCCAGGCAGCGCTGACTCAGTCGTCCTCAATGTCAGCGAACCCAGGAGGAACTGTCAAGATCACCTGCTCCGGGCTTAGCAGCAGCAGTGCTTATGCTGGCTGGTACCAGCAGAAGGTTCCTGGCAGTGCCCCCGTCACTGTGATCTACAATAACAACAACAGACCCTCGGACATCCCTTCGCGATTCTCCGG